AAATTAAGTAGAAATTAGGTACATAAAGAATGTTGTGTCGATGAATATTTAATCAAGAGTTATGATTATCATTTGACAACTAATAGTTATGCGTTACAATTAACTAAGTACATTTCAATATTTTGGGTGCTATTGTCATACATAAGCATAGAAGCACGATTACATTACACATACACTTCCCTAAGTTATTATTATATATTAATTCTACATCAGCTTTGACTTAGAGTCTGTTTGATAACATAAAAAAGTGTTGAAACTAAATTTTTTTAAACATTCAAAAGTTTTGGGTGTTTGATAAATAAAAAAGCATCTGCTGAACTTGTTAAACGGTGCTAAATTTATGTATAATTTTTTCAGCACAAGAACCGTAATTGAATGCTTAATTCTGATAAGAATCAACAGATTTATTTCAACTACCTTATCTTATCTACTAAATCTATCCTTGTTTGTTAATTACATTCAAATTTTTATCTAATTAAACAATCTGATAGTCTCTATTCAAAATCTTTATCTAATTAAATAACCTAATATTCTTTATTCAAAATCCTAATCAAATTAAAATCCTTATCCAATCCTAAATTTTCTATTCAAAATATTAGATGTTATATGAATTATTGGATTGTAATGTTTCTTTTAATATTTTCCATAATATATTTCAACTTTCATATTAATTTGATTTAAAAATAAATATTGTCAATTTCTCACCTAACAATTTTAAGCTAATTAAACCATAAATTCTATTTCTTTTTTGGATGAAAAGATAGAATGGCAAAATTGTACAATTTGGCTTATTAAGCATTCAATTATAAATGTTTATCAAACAATATAAATACATTCAGCATTAAGATTCAGACATTCATATATTTTTTTTCAGTACTTAAATTCTGACAAATTAATTATTTCAGTTTTCAGATTTCAAAATTCAGATTCACTTTTATCAAATGGATCCTTAGGTTCAGTTTGATAAAGCTGAATCTGAATTCTGAAGTCTAAAATTTGAAATCTGAATACTGAAATAATTAATTTACTGAATTTTAAGCACTGAAAAGAAATATATAAATGTCTGAATTTTAATGTTGAACCTATTTATACTGTTTGATAAATATTTATAATTGAATACTTAATAAGTTAAATTTAACAATTTTGCCCTTATATCTTTTCATCCAAAAAAGAAATAGAACCTATGATTTAATTAGCTTAAAATTTTTAGGTATGAAAATGATAATATTTATTTTTAAATCAAATTAATATAAAAGATGAAATGTATTATATGATGAGGATGGAGAATATGTGAAAGTTATTAAAAAGGCAGAAAAGAGAAATAGAAAATCATTAAATAGAGAATATTAAGTTGTTTAATTAGATAAAAATTTTGAATATAATTAATAAACAAGGGTAGATTTGGTAGATAAGATAAGATAGTTGAAGTAATTCTATTGATTCTTATCACAATTAAGCATTCAGTTAAGATTCTTATGCTGAAAAAAATACACACAAGTTCAGCACTACTTAACAAATTAGTATAGCAACCCGTGCTATGCACGAATTTATGTTTAATATAATTAAAATAGTAAATGAATTATTTATATTAGTTACATGAAAAAGGTTAAAAAAATTAAAAGAGTGCTATTTTAGTATCTAATTTATATTGTATTTATGTACTTTATTTAAAACCTTAACGTATATTAAAAAATCTGAATAAAGGTCAAAAATATCTAAAGAAATACTGAAAGCACAGTAACCACAAATTATTACCCCTCCCTTCCATGTTGTCATTTTCTGCGCCACTTTTTGTTAATATACCCCTACTCTTCATTATTATCTTCCTTACCTTGCTAATCCAAACTACCCACTCCCTTGCAACTCTTCTCTCTCTCACAAATTCTATCTTTTCTTCACCCTACCCTGCTTCTATCAAGTTATGCGATCTCTTACCCAATTTTACAACTTATTTACCTTCTGTCCTATTACTCTCCATATATAGTTGTAAATAATGATCAAATTTTCAATTTGTTCTTTAACAAATGAGTATGGGTATACAATTTTATTAACTTCAAATGGGTAATTCAATTAAAATTCATTAATAAGTGGCTATTAAATAGATAGATTGGAACTACCTATTTAGACTTAATTAAATTAGATGTAGATTCAAATTCATTAGTAAGTAAATTTAAATCACTACAAATTCAATAATTATATTCTACCTTTTGCAAAGGCATATTTAACATTATTTTCTTATTCTTTATGTTTTAAATTTTTGTTGAATTTTATCCTACTTTCTCCCTCCCTTCCATTAAAGTTTTAATTAACTCATTAAGTGTTAATTGATTTCTTGCATTCACACCTAAATTATTTTGAGATTCTTATATAGGGACAAATTTGAAACTCCTTATGATCACCACTATTGGTTCTTCTGTGTAACTTTTTTTTTTATTTTTTAGGTAAAAATTTATTTATTAATGCAATGTGTTCTTATTTTTGTTGATTACAATGATATCTTATTGTGTTATTCAAAGAATATGGGAGAAAAAATAAATAAAATTTTATAGTGGATTGTAAATGGATAAGATAACCAAAATCATGTAAAACTAATATCTATTTGATCCACATAAATAACTCATTTTAATAATTTCATCCCAACTCACAACTACAGCTTCCTTGACTTTACCCTCCCCAATCCTATACTCCTATCTTTATGCTTCTTTTACTATTTAGGAGTCAATACCTGTCTTTTACCCTTTCCAACCCTATAATCCAATCTTTCTATTCCTTTTATTATTTAGGATTCATTATCTCACTTTTCAAGTGGCTTTTTTTTTTCAAATAAAGAGTTAGAATTATAGTCATCAAGGAAAAGTAATTGGGTGTAACTTTGGTGAAATACTACTATTTTTTGTGATAATCACCCAGGATAATTGTTTTATCAAATATTTGTTTTAAAATTTTTGATAAACATTTCAAAAAATAACCATCTAAATGCCCCTTTTATTAATTTAAAATTCATATAAAGATTTTGTTTTATGTGCACTTTCTAATGTACGCGTTATATGCAAAATTATCCAAATGAATGTCTGAGCATTTCAAAAATTATCTAGATGATGTTGTATGTCAAAATGTTTATTTCATTAGTTGGAATAATCGTCTAATAGGATAAGTTTAAGGTTAAAAAAATTAATTTAGTTGCAATAGATAAAATTGAAGAATGGTTATAATTGGATATGTTATTTGAAATATTTGACAAATCTATGTATATACCTGGAAGGAAAGTGCTAAAAATGTTACTATATAAATGATTAAAAAATGGGACTAATCAGATTATTCCTTAGATTGGACAAATCAATATTTATTAATCAAGGAATAAAATGGGCTAAAGTAATAAAATTGTAATGGGGTGAATGATTTTAATATGGGACTAATCAAATTATCCAAATTTATTTTCTTTATTTATGGAAGGAAAAAGTGGTCAAAATCTAAAAGCAAACTATAAATGATTTATTAAGCACTCATTTGAAGTGGGAAAGAAAGTTTTAAATTTTAAATTTGAATTGTTATCGGAGTAGTTGTAAATGACACTATTTCAAACTTTTTAATTGAATTTATGTATTAAAATAAATGAAAAATCTAGAAAAAAGTATGGGAGATTTGGAAGCCATTCATGAGGCCTCCACTAAAACCTCCCCTGCAATACATATAAATATAGATTCAGCAAATGGATTTTCATTTATCAAACACTCAAAACATCTGAATGTCTGAAAAAGTTCAGATTCAGCACTTTTTTATATTATCAAATAGACCCTTAGAGTGCATTTGATAAAACTAAAGTCTGAAATATGAAAGATGAAGTCTAAATCCATTAAATTATTGAATTGTTAAGTATTAAATCTAATACTTTTGAGTGTGTATCACATTCAGTGATAAGTGAATATAGCTTATCACTTAATTTTGGGAGCAAATTTTACCTAGGAAATTCAGTGCCACTTAATTAAATTCAGATGTTCAATTTTTTATTATCAAATGGTTAGAATATGTTAAGATTTGAATCTATTAAATTTAAATACTAAATTGAGTTATCAAACAGGGTCTTAAGCATTGCATTAGGCTTGGACTTTGTTAAAAGTACATGTATAAATTTGCTTTTTTGACATGTAACATGCAATTTACACTTGTGTAAACAATTCTTTTCCCCCATAATGTATAAAAAATTAATTCTTATATTTAATAATGGTAAGAAAGGCTAGAGATATAACACATTCTTTGAGTTTTATTATAAGGGGTTTTTAACATGTGCTGAATTGGCACGGTTAACATATTTAAATTTCACCTAATCAATCATGTATACACACGCAATATAACAATTACTACATTTTCTTGCATTTATTAACTTTTCCTAATTAATCTTATCTTTTAAAAAATTTAACACCTGAAGTGCATTTTAACGGGTGTCCAATAGACAAAACCCTTTTCTTTACACAAAAAAGTTTTGATGGATTTAACTTCGATCATCACTATGAATTGAAACATGCTTCAGAACCACAAGTTACTTCTAGGGTTCTTACAAATTATCTACCACTACATTGATTACCAAATTTTTGTTTCTATAACCATGGATTAAAGATTATATCGATCATTTATTTTCTTTCTTTCTTTTCCTACCACTAACCAATGTTAGTGGATCGAGTTGGATGGCTGGACTCCAAGAGCAGAGCAACGGAGCTGGCTGACTATATGATTTCATGAATTATTAGTAAGACTGAAGAAAGGCTGCATATTGTAACGGAAAACAATGAAAAAGAAATGATAAACTGTTAAATCCTATTAGTTATTATCAACTGATGGCATTAATTCTCTTCGACAAAAGAATTATTAATTGTGGTTACAAACTGAAAAAACCTGTTGTTGCTATGCAGCTAAGCAGAATTAATAGACAACAAGAAAAGTGCTAGACATTCAGGAAATCATGCCACCTGCTTCAAACAGGGGAAAAAAACACCTTTCATTCACTTGGCTATTTAGAAATTAGAAACGAACATCAAATCTGGGAAGTCATCTCGCTACACAATTCTGTGCCAGGAAAAAAAAGTTCTAGGAGAAATTGAACAACTAGATCTTGATGCAAAACGATGCAACACAACCAGTACCAGTAGTAGTACAAAAGTTAAAAGGAATCAAAAGAAAAAAAAAACATGTAAAATGAGTAAACTTTGCTGGCCAAATCCAGCATACTTCGGAAGACCAGTAATCCATTATGGTGGAAACAAGGATCTTTAGATCAGTATAACCCATGCTCATTTGCTCTTCTTGCATTTGTTCCACTGAACTTGCAGAGTTGGGAGAATCATACACCTCAAGTATTCTAGAGTTGGAATATGCACCAAAGAAGAAGGGATCTCTTCCAAGAACTGACAGCTTTCCAATACTAATTTCTGGAGATGAGGAAAACTGTCCTCGCATTCAGAGGCTATCCCTTGGACAATGTCCAAGGAAGCTATTTTCATGAATCTAACTTTAGTGAATTGTTCTACTTCCATGTTCCACCTTTCCCCCACAAAGGCTTGCTTGAGTAGTTTGAGAACCTCAAGGTTGGGAAGATTCGCAAGTGCTGATATTTTGCAATATGGCAAGCAGAAGCCCGATAGAGTCAAAAGGGAATTGAAACTCAATCTGGTGTTGCACATCACGAAGTGGAGTGAAAATCAAATTGAGTGATTCGAGTCAACTTAGAACTAGAATCATGATGTTTCCATCACAAGCAAAATCCTTGTGGAATTCCAAGAGCTCACGTTTCAGCCTGCAAATATTTGGAAACTTTCTGAGTATCTCGTCCATGTCTTTCCAAGAAGAAAAAACTCCACTGGAAAAGGTATCTAAACTACACAATTGCAACGAGTTATCAAGATTGTCAGTTGGCAATTGAAAACCAAAATTTAGAAACTTGTCCTTTATGTGCAAATGCCTTAGTTTCCTGAGATACCATATGGTATCCGGCAGTGAAACTGATGTTGCAACAGTTTCCACAAGAAAAGTTTCCAAATTTGAGAGGTTGCCCATTGACGATGGGATGGAGACCATCTCACCTAGAACTGCCAAGTACTTCAAGTAAACAAGCAATTCTATTTCTCTAGGTAAATCATAACCCAGATGAATTTGGCTTAAATCCAACACTCTTAACAAGTTTGAAGATGCGAAAATGAAACTATGATCACACCAACTTGAATAGTACCTTTCACCATGATTGAAGAACAGTAAAGAGCGTATGGTGGAAGAAGATAACCTTTCCAACTCCGTAAAGTGCTCTGGCTCAGAGTTAGCGCTTAAGCAGCGTAAGTTCTGGGGAACATTGAAAGTAGACAGTTCATCATACCCCCGTACTAGCAGCAGAAAATTTTCTTCTTTGGCCTTGGTTACACAAAACTCATGTAATAGATCGTGAATTCGACAAGCTTTTATCCCACCAAGGGATATTCGTCTGGGAACCATGACTATGCTTCCGCCAATGAGATCTATCATGTAATCCTTTGCCACATCCTCTGAGCTCTTGAATTGAGTTTTTGGCACAATTCCTTTGGCCACCCATAATCAAATCAACCTCTCGGTATTGTGTTCATGGTCTTCTGGAAATGCCCCAAAATATACAAAGCAGGCCTTCAAATTATCTGGTAAATGTTTGTAACTCAGCTCTAGTGCAGCTGTGCATTGATCTGTAACACAAACATTGCTTGAAGAACAGTAAAGAGCGTATGGTGGAAGAAGATAACCTTTCCAACTCCGTAAAGTGCTCTGGCTCAGAGTTAGCGCTTAAGCAGCGTAAGTTCTGGGGAACATTGAAAGTAGACAGTTCATCATACCCCCGTACTAGCAGCAGAAAATTTTCTTCTTTGGCCTTGGTTACACAAAACTCATGTAATAGATCGTGAATTCGACAAGCTTTTATCCCACCAAGGGATATTCGTCTGGGAACCATGACTATGCTTCCGCCAATGAGATCTATCATGTAATCCTTTGCCACATCCTCTGAGCTCTTGAATTGAGTTTTTGGCACAATTCCTTTGGCCACCCATAATCAAATCAACCTCTCGGTATTGTGTTCATGGTCTTCTGGAAATGCCCCAAAATATACAAAGCAGGCCTTCAAATTATCTGGTAAATGTTTGTAACTCAGCTCTAGTGCAGCTGTGCATTGATCTGTAACACAAACATTGCTTGAACCCAAATTTTCCACTACTTACTTTCCAACCATCTTGGTCCACGTTAGCTAAAATTCCAGCAAGAATGACAATTGTCAGAGGTAGTCCTTGACACTTTTTCACGATTTGCATTCGAAGTTCACATAATTTTGGAGGCAACTCTTTTCCAGGAAATAACTTTTCTGTCAGCAAATGCCAGCTGTCAACATCAGTGAGTTGCTGAAGAGAATGAGGTTCGTTGTCGAGCTTATCTTGTCCAGCAACATCGTGCAGTCGACTTGTCATTGTCAACAGTACTCTACTTCCATTTGCGTCATTAAGGAATGAGGCTTCCAACCCATTCCTTGCTTCAATGTCCCATACATCATCCAAAACAATGAGATATCTGCTTCTTTTCAAATGTCTGTAGAGTTCTTCACACAAATCTTCTTCTTGTAATTGAAGAAAATTGTCAGGAAGCTTGAAATCAATACAACTCAAGATGTTACTTTCTCGTATGTTACAACTCAAGCTTGAAATCCTCACATGAGTCGATTCATTTTCAATGTTGCCTCATCCTCAAATCCAACCACAACGTCATTGATTATAGGCTTACTTTCTCGTGATGGCCGGTGATTGAGTCTCTTCATACCTTGCACAACTTTGACATCAACTTTTTTGTTATCAAAAATCTTGAAAACCTCAGCTTTAATGATCTTAATGTCGTCTGCAATGGTATCAAATGACATTGAAAAAGAATCTAGAGTTTCTCCAAGTCCAACCAGTAAGGAGTCAATAAGAAACTCAACCCTGTATGCAAACTCTACAACACGATCCCAATGTTCTTGGATCTCCTGATCTTCACTGCGCAATTCCACTATTTTCCCAAGAAAGAGCGTAAGAAAATAAGCTCCTCCTGGATATTTTTGAATAGGATAATTTACAAGAGCAGTTGACCAAGCCTCAGGACTTAAAAGATCCGTGATGTTTTCTAGAAGGAAATCAATAAAACCCAACTCATTGTTCCTAGGAAAGTTGAATGATGATGTTTCTGGGCCTTTTTCTGTAACTATTGCCTTGACAAGCTTAATCCCTTCGAGGAAATCAAAAGACACCAGATCCATTGCCTTGACAAATCCATCTTCCACTGCACTTGGAGAAAGAGAGCAAATAACAAATCCTGCATCACAGATCACGAGGGCAGAGAGCTCTCTCACTTGCTCATCCAGCTTCTTCAACTTCCCCTTGAGAATGGCTCTCAAGGATCTTAGTCCCACATAGAACATTTGCAGCAGTTGATCCTTCAGAGAAATCATAAGATGAGTACCAGACTTTAGTATCTCTGAAAGATTACATAGGAGAGAATCGATGAAGTCTCTCAAAGTATGATCACCCTTGTCCCGATATAGTTGTCTTGATAACTTTGATGCAGTAATGGCTTGGACACAAGTCTCATGGACTTGGGGGTTCTAGAGAAATAATCTTCTGCAGTAGTTCTGAAATGCTTTTCTGGATTTCCTTGCGCATTTCATGGTTCAAGTCAAATCGGTGCATATAAGAGAGGCGTGCTGGAATGTAAGTAAATAAAGGCCCCAATTGGCTATCTTCAACGCCTTGCACGGTAACAAATCTAATGAAGTTTTTCCAGAATTTTAGCTACTCTTCAAGGGCATTTACCAAAGAATCTCGATATTGAGGGTCTTGCCAGTACGACAAATTCACTAGTTTCTCCAAGAGAGAGTCCATGAATTCCATCAGGTCATCTTTTACTACTGAAGAAATACTAGACTCCCTCGATGAACAACCCGAGAAAACAATGTACCATCTGTTAATTTCCTGCTTGAAAGATTCGATGCCTTGTCTAAAATCTTTGCCCAGAAATATCAAAACGCCATTCAGAAATCCATGTTCCAAACCAGTGTAACAAAAGAAGCGAATATCCTGTCCTTTCTTCGAAATGGCATCTTCAATCTTGATCACCAGAGCTCCTAGACTTGCATGGTCAATAGCTTCATTGCTCTGTTTGCCATCAGATGATAAATGTACATGATCATTGCCCCACTTCATCACACAGTGAAGAAATGTTCTCAGATATCTCAACACTTCTTCCACAATTCTCAAAGCGTGACGTTCCCCTTCTGGACAAATGTTCTCCAACAACTGCAGATCATCCCAGGCGGAAGAAATACAAGTAATACTACTGTTGGCCATCCACTGAAAGGAAGAATAAGTACGGAACCAAAATGGAATTCAATTTAGAGGTAAAACATCTCCAATAACTATGGCCAGGAGATTAAAAACAAAAGTGCAGAACTTCAGAATCAGGTGCTTTCTTCTTTCTATATGCATAAATTGCTAGTATATGCTCACTGCTATGACGATATAATCTCAAACAATGGGCTGAAGGCTGAAGCACAATTTTAGATTACTTCAAACAACTATGGAAACGATCTTTTAGAGATTTGAGCCACTGGCCCAAAGTTGGCCTGACAACAATCACCATATGTTTTTCCAGTGCAAGTTAACAATTCTCATGATCTATTATCTTCCCGGCGAAATTTTATGACTTAGACACATAATTGCACATGTAAACTAACATGGAACATCATTGATATTCAGATAGCCCTTTCTTTTTTCTTTTTAATAATTTTTTTTCATGCAGTGCAGAAGTGAAACTTATGAAGCGGGAAGAAGACGGATGACATTTAGATAGCCGTTTCAAAGAAACATTAGTAAGCATCTATTTTGCTACGGTACAAAATGGACTTTGATTCTGCAGCTTTCCCATGCATTCCAGATGAACTACGCAATACCTTGAAAGTTGAAACCATCTGTGTTTTATCCGAGTAAACGCCCATGGGCACCTTCACCTTATTGACTGAATGGCGGACGCAATAAATGAGCAAAGAAAAAAAGAGACTTCAAGGCAGTAACCAAGCCAGGCAAGGAACGTGCTGCTCCTTATCCACATTATGAAGTATTAATATCTAGGACTTCGCCAAATTTTATCCAAATAAATGGCAGCTGTTCCATCAGATAGATATAGCATCTTTCACTTGATGGTAATGCATCCCGAAACGAACTGCTATTTGGCCTAAAGCAGAAATGGAGCGGTCATCACGCTGCAACCACTTGTGTATGCATGCATAAGAGAATTTAACACAAACTTGAATCAGTCAACAAGCCTGAATGGCCATAGTGCTCGCTGTTTGCAATGTTCTCTAACAGAAACATGAGCAGCCAATTGATTGATTTGTACTATGGTGAGAGCCAATTCAAAAAATATTACATCTATCAGATCAATAATTTAAGTACAGCCTTCTATGGAGCTCAAAAGCAACAAATGCACCCATTAGAGTTTAAATCTCTTCAGCAAACAGAAGTTGAGTTTACGGTCTGAGGAATAGAGAAATTTACAAAGTTAGATCCAGCCCGTCAAACCATATCTGTCAGCAAGATTGTACATTACCAGCTGATCCCAGGCATGCCCAAAAAGATGCTCTCCTCCAATGGCAAAGGTAAGAGCCCACGAAGTGAGAAGAACAGTGAACACCACGAACCCAATGGCTGATCCAACAACATCTGCAAGAGGAAACATATGTTCAAAACATAAAATAACAGACAAAGATACCAGGGATGAAAAAATATACGTAAAGCTTAAACGGGCTCTTGAATAAACAGGGAAAAAATTTGATTTGAATTGCTGCTGCACAACATTAGACAACCTACATGTAAAATTTCATCAAGATCCCAAAATACCCCTTTTGAAACACGTATATAGTTTCTCATTATATCCTGATTCTTTGGAAGGAAGATTTCCTCCCTGGTCTATTTGAGATGTTTGATTGAGCGGGAAGCAGGTAAGACCCATGCTCCGAGGGAATCAAAATAAAGGCTGTGATCCTAAGACGACAATGATAAAGAATGGACAGCTTGTGAACCCTATTACCAAACTAAATTTTGGGGGACCCTGCAACAACATATTCCTTCCAAGTAACTTACTTTCTAAACAGCGTGTTGAGAAATTATTGAACAGAAACAAAAAGATGCTCCCTCATGAAGTTTAAAGCTAGCTGGAAACATAGTATGAACAGATGCATTGATGTCCAAAGCATCGTATGGTAGATATAGAGGTTGTTTCTCCAAAGTTTCAACCTCCTTCAGAGTCCATAGATTGGAAGGTTTACCATTTCCAACCACCTTGCTAAATATTTCAATCCACTTGTTCTGTTTCAACATTTCAGATAATGCTAAATCTAATAGACACTTGACTAAAACGCAATACAAAATCTTTCTGATAACTCTTGCTTGTTAACTCCAAAATGTTGAAGATGTTGCTCCAAGCCTTGATGTTAGATTACTGAGCCCAGCAGCATTTCTTTCTCTAATCATTATCTATCTTGTAAAAAATAATAATCTCTATGTAGAATTCTTTAGAATCTTTCCTCTATCTGGGCTAGATTTAAGTAGATGCTCTAATATCATATGAAAATGACTTGACAATTCAGCAGGGACAACTTGCCGAAATTACTAAACATGTAAATGGAAAAGAATAAAATGGAAGAAATGACAATTTGAGCAGGCAAAGTCAGGAAACAGGACTGAGGGCCAACATAAAATTCATTCTGGCAGTTAAATCAAGAGGATGGGCAGAAGAGGAAGACATAAATCAGAGACAGAGTTCGTTAATAAGTTCCCTGCTTTTGAACAGGAGATTCAGATTCTAATATTGCAATCAAAGGAGCTGCTTTAAAAACGAGCACATAAAGCCTCAAAGATTGGGATATCAAAGAATTCTCGGAAGCAATTCTGAACCATATTTCTTCCATGTAAAACTTCCTATCTCAACCATCCCATTGGAGTAGGAAAAATAGGTTATTTAACCAGAGTACTTTTTTAATATTTGATCTGTTCATAAAAGAGAATAACCATGACAAGATTATGGTGTAGAACTCAGAAATGACATAGAAACACAAAAGAACTATATCACCAAAAGTTAATGGAGAAAAAGAAAAGGACCAAGAAAAAGAATGCGAGCATAATTTGAGGTTTCAATTTACAATCCACTTGCACCAGCAAAAGTTCTGCAAGCCACTACATGGATCTCATTCACAAACATTAAAACCATATAACCAATCATTAAAAAAAAAAAACCTCTAACCATATCCCAGTTCATGTTAAATTCTATTTCACCAAAATGCAAAAGTGATTCAACTGATCAAGCCCAATTCATGTGATTTAACCAAAAAAGGAACCTAAATTGACACATCATACATCCCCAACCAGATTCTCCACCAATATGATTAGTTATGTGCTTTAAATCTCTGTTCTCATGTTTGAGAACGAAAAGAATTTGATTTGAAACCTGCAGCATAGTATTGAAGTTCTCTAAAATGCAATACCAAAAGTAAACAGATTCGCTGAAAGAGTGGAATCCTTTCATGATAGACCATGTAGCTAAAAGCTTAACCTAACTTGAACTTCACAACTTCTTCAGTCTGATAATTGTATAAACCAAACATACACAAAGAATCATGCACCTTCATCACACTACTCAAGAAACGAACACGGCATTTTTTTCACATATATCCAGATTTAGAGCTGTCAATTCCAATTTTGTATCCTTTTCAAAACTAAATCAATTGTTATTATTTAAGAACCTCAACCAATTTATCATATCTCTTACATCCACAAATGAAGCTCAACTCTATGCTAGTCATTTCAAATTCCCAAATTCCAATGCAGCTTTATTCCTTATTGTAGAAAGAGAAGATCTCAAAAAGCAATACCATTCAGAACAATTAATCAAAGATAAGAGCATCTATAGTTGAAAATATAGGATAATCCAAATACAAACAAAATAACTCTAAGCATGAAACCACCACCAACACTAGAAGTCCGAAATCTCACTTCCCTTGTTAGATATCACAACAAATATATTTTGTGCTTATTTTTATTGGCAGAGGTCAAACATCTGACAAATTTTACCTAGTAAACACCAAAATCTAAGCAAACGCATTCCTAGGAAATCAGTATGATGTGTGCTTGGATAAGTCTCCACTTGCCACAGTAATCCTAAATTATTGCAGTTATATAAGTGACCTTACTAGAAAAGTATATAAGTGCTCATGCTGGAACATTATATCTTGCAATCACGGCCTAATCCCTCCACTGTTTCGAGGTTTCATTTTACAAAATCAGGTTTTGAAGCAGTTCAGCAGCATCAAGTTCTTAAAAAATGATCTCGGTCAATGCACCATCTAGTGATATAAATTGATTTACATTGAAGTTTAAATCCACCACTTGACACGCAAAAGCCCTGACAGAGGGCATAATCACGGTTGTTTATAATCAAATGGCATTTCTGCTGATGTTTGCAAACACACATACTCTTCACTGTACAGGTAGCAAATAGCAGTACATTTTGTACAGAAATCAGAACAAATGCCCTTCACGATAAATATACAGAAATTGTACCCTCTTTATAAATTAGGGCCACAAGTGTGCCGTTTTCCCTAATTTAGAAAAGAATAAAGTCTCGCTCTATCTACAATCACAACTGAGAATCAACGAGAGGAATTAGATGTCCTACATTCTAATCACCTGCCACCTCCCTGCTTCTTAAATCCCACCCCTCCCATGCTGGAAAAAAAATTAGAAAAAAAAAGAACCAACTAGAGCCTCAAATATAATCAACTGAAGGCCTATGTCCCAGCAAGCTAAGCAATGCTTACTAAAACCCAGATAAAGATGTTACTTACAGATATAAAACTACAGAAATATCACAATCAGACGAATCAACTTCATTAAAATCACATAAAAATTCAATCTATTATGCTTCAAAAGAGAGCGGGCAAAAAAGAATGAAGGAACTTACAGTAACGAAGCTGTGGGTGACTATGTGAGGTGGGTTTTCTGAGAACAGGCCAAAAATAGAAGCAATTGACAGCCCAAAGCCACGGCAGCAATAGAAATCCGAATTTGAAGAATTTACGAGCTTGCCCTATTGATTCTTCTTGTGATAACCCCAGTGGTCCATCAATAGTTGGCCATTCAACGTTTCTTCTTCTACCTCTTGATAATGGTGAGATTGAAGAAGTAGCATTACCTTGGTTTCCGGCTACGGTGTCGTCGCCGCCGGCGGTGAGGGCGACAACGGCGTGATCGGGATTGGACGGTGCTTCTGCACTTGACCTCTCCATTGGTTATGAAATAAGTCCTGAAAAGAAAAAACAGAAAGTGGGGATTTTAGCGAGTATTTTGGGAATGGTTAATTGCATTTTACCCCCTTGCTTAACATCCAGTTTCACTTTACACCCAACTAAAGATTTGAATTGTAATAATAACCAGTATCCTGTTAACAACGTGAAATGCAGGCAAATGATCAATGTTTTGGACTAACTCCTATTATGCAAAAGTAAAACATAGACAATGATCGAGCTTTCTTTGCTGCTGATTTAGTTCTTCATATTTTCTTTTCAAGCCATTTTGATCCTTAAAAATGCTAATGTGTTTAAATTTTCTATTTTATCTTATGTTTGGATAGCAAATTTTTTCAAAAAAAAATTTCGCTTGCATCGTAAACACATTCTCAATCAATCTTTTTATATTCTCAACCACCTTTTTATTTCACATACATCATATCATAAAAAGTGTTACAGTAATTATTCCAAATAGTTCAAATAACTATTTGGAATAATATTCTATCCAAGAAATGCTTAAAATGTGTGAATATGATCACCAAATTCAGGCCAAAGAATTTTTTGATACTTGGTATATGCGCTTGAACTAGGATCAATTAAACTATGGTTTAAGTTGGTTTACAAAATTCTTGAAAAAAAAAATTCTTTGGAGGAGT